CGTTTTCGTGGTCCGGGATGTCCTCTTTTGAGAAGTAGGACCCCCGTCGAGGACCGTGATTGCCGTCTTCATGTTAGTTGAAGTTGCGACCGAAGAGCTCGAAGAATTCTATAGCGCACGCCGAGGTTCGCGTCCCGGGTCGTTTGCGGCGTTGCGGGGTGTGAGCTGGAGGAAGCTAGCTGACGACGAGGCGTGCGTACGAGCTGATCCCTCCGTGGAACACCTCGTGCAGATTCGATCCGCTGTTGCCAGGAGCTGTTTCAGGACCAGAACCCAGTTTGGGAGAATGGGGAACTGGTTCATGAAGTCCACGATGACTACCCCCTCCATCCCGGACCCCCGATTGAAGCACCTTGACCTCCGTCTGTACTTGTTTGTCCGTAACTTTATGACGGGAACCGTCGTCTTGTCGATGGGGTTAATGGTGTCTTTTGACGGCAATGTCGGCTTTCCTTTCCTTGAGCTCTCTCTTCGAGGGTGAAAATGGGCGTCTTGTCCCAGTGGTCTATGACTACGAGGTCTATGTCACTAGTCGGTAGAAAGAGGCCCGTAAACATGCGGACATCACCCTTAGAGGAGGTCAGTAAGGATAGGGATTTGTTTTTGTTTTTGTTGTTGGAAAAGTAGGGGCTAGTTTGTAGGAGAGTGTGTGACTTTTTTTACTTTGTTTTTCCATGCACACGCTTCTTCATCATCATCAACACATCCACTCTTCAATACCTTCTCTCTTCTTCTCTTTCTCTTCTTCCTCTTTTCTTCTCTTTTCCCTTCCTCTCTTCCTTTTGCCCTCTCTGATCTATCCAAAATAACAGAAGGTAGGTGTTAACCTAAATTTGTTTATTTGTACTTGTGTCAGTACATTAGTATTGTAGAAATTTGTCACATGTGTTAGGTGTGTGTGTCTTACCACATGTGCCATGTTATAGTGTGTGGCACTGTTGGTAGGACGAAGGTAAGAGCATAGTGTATTCCTTTATACTCCCTCCTCCTCTCCCTTCTCTCTCTTCTTTCTTTCTTCTCTCTCTCTCTCTCTCACACACCACACACACACACACACTCCCCACAGATCCTACTGATGGTGAAGACTGGAAACCAATATCTGATGGGTTCTCCTACGGAACTGATCTCGTGAAATTCATCAGAGAACTTTATGGAGACTATTTCACCATCTGTGTGGCAGGTTTACAACCCCTCTCTCCTTCCTCTCCATCTTTTCTATCTTTCTTTTTCTCCTCCCTAACTTCTTTACGCTTCAACCGATTTTATGCAAAAGTCACTGATACTTTTTTATACAAATTTAGCTGTTTTTGGACCATTATTATTTGCGTGTATACTTACCCGAAAACTTTGTATGTAGTGCCCTCGTAAACTGACATCAAAATTTCTCTTCAAATTCAGTTAAATATCTGTTCCCTTTGAAAATGTTGCCACATGTATGTATGTATGTACCTGTCACTGTGTCTCGTCCAGTTAAACACCTGTTCTCGAGTTTCAAGAACAATTTTGTGCCAACAGAAACCATGTGGTATTCTTGCAATTTCTCTCTCAGCTATAGTACAAGTGTACTCTATATACACACAATAGGGCTACAGGAGTCTGCACAATCTGACAAAGCTATCGAAACTGGAGGTTCCTCGAAACATCATGGACGCCATCTTACCCATCAAAGATGACGACGCCGCGATCCAAAAGTTTGGCATCAGTTTTGCCGTCAACATGTGCAAAGAGCTACTCAACTCTGGACTGGTGAGATGTTATTTTCTCTATTTCTTCACTTATTTTACCTCTCTCTCTGTCTCTCCTTATGTACAGGTGAATGGTCTACATTTCTATACTCTGAATCGAGAGGTCGCCACTATTTCAATCCTTACTGAACTAGGTATGTTCACATTTCTTCCACTATAGTAGTTTTCACTCTCCTTTCTATCCTCTTTCATCTTTTCCGCTATCTTGCTCAAACCTTTCCTCTCTCACTCACAACTCTTGTCTTTCCCCCTATCCTGCTCCTCTTATATCTCTATCTATCTCCAACTTATCTCATATCTCTATCTTATTCCTCCTTCACCTCCAAGGTATGTGGTGTGATGACCCGCTGTCACTGAAGACGTTGCCATGGAAAGCTCCAGCCAGTCACAAGAGGTGTACCGAAGACGTCAGACCAATCTTCTGGGCCCAGAGACCCAAGAGCTACATACACAGGTATTGATATATAGACTATAGCTGGAGAGTGCAGTGAAATATAGGGTGGCCTAAATTGTTCGTACTTTTAGCAAGCAAGTGGGGGGAAGGACAGACCAACTAACCATCCTGAATGCCTTGACTATAGCTGGAGAGTGCAGTGAAAATATAGGGTGGCCTAAATTGTTTGTACTTTTAGCAAGCAAGTGGGGGGAAGAGCAAGCCAACCAACCATCCTGAATACCTTGACTATAGCTGGAGAGTGCAGTGAAAATATAGGGTGGCCTAAATTGTTTGTACTTTTAGCAAGCAAGTTGGGGGAAGGACAGACCAACCAACCATCCTGAATACCTTGACTATAGCTGGAGAGTGCAGTGGAAAATATAGGGTGGCCTAAATTGTTTGTACTTTTAGCAAGCAAGTGGGGGGAATGACAGACCAATTAACCATCCTGAATGCCTTGACTATAGCTGGAGAGTGCAGTGAAAATATAGGGTGTCCTAAATTGTTCGTACTTTAGCAAGGCAAGTGGGGGGGGAGGACAGACCAACCAACCATCCTGAATGCCTTGACTATAGCTGGAGAGTGCAGTGAAATATAGGGTGGCCTAAATGTTGTACTTTTAGCAAGCAAGTTGGGGGGAAGGACAGACCAACAACCATCCTGAATACCTTGACTATAGCTGGAGAGTGCAGGGAAAATATAGGGTGGCCTAAATTGTTTAGAATGAAACCTTCTGACGGTCTCGCTAGAGAAGGGGGCTGCGTCTTTGAATCTCTCCATTCCCAGCATATCAGTATTTGATTACAAGGAGAGCAGTTTCCTCATTTGAGGTAATCAGGACACCTCACTGAGCAAATTCACTTCTCCAGCTTCTGATGTAGTGTGTGTGTTGTATAGAGTAGTGGTATGTACATGTAAACCTCTGATTGGTTGGCCACCTGAATTTGAATCAGACCTGAACCCTGCGATTAGGACCCCTGAAATTAAGACCCCCGCAATCTGAACCCCAGAATCAAGGACCCCTCTCCCCTGATTTACATGTTGATCGTTTAGCAACAAGTGTATAATTATATCATTCTCTGCTTGTTGTCCATTTGAATGTGGCGGAAACTCTCCCAAGGATTAATAATGTCTTGACATGCAAGACTCCTCTTCAATGCCACAAAATAACCCTTCTCTCCCCCTCCCTCTTTTTCTCTACTTACAGGCATATCTGGAGTTCTTCTGTAGTCCGTCGTTCATGAGAGCGCTAATGACGGTCCTGGTGGACTATCCTCAAGTCAACTACCACATTGTCAACAGACAGGTATATATACCACACAACTAAAGACTAAGGGAACGAGGGGAAATCCATGTGGGAGGACGAGGGGAGTAGGGTAGGGTTGGGTACCACAGACCCCGGGGTGGGGGAAAACGGGGTAGGACCAAGGGGGAGGGTGTCCGGAGTAAACCATGAGGTAGGACTATCCTCAAGTCAACTACCATAATATTGTCAACAGACAGGTACATACCACACAACTAAAGACCCTCTCGACAAGAGAGCATCGCGATTGTTACTCAACTGCAAAAGTAGAATTTCAGTTTTTAGCACACCAGGTACAGACGTCTGTCTACTGCCTTTGAGAAACTTTTGGTGAAAACCTGCTATTTTTCAGAGGTTCTTGAAATTTTTTTGTTAGCGAAATGTTTTTTAGCACGAAACCAGAGTTGTGACTATAGCCACTGCAGTATATATGCTGTTCAAATCCCTCCACCCTCTTCTCCTTCCCAGGGAACGGAAAACATGACAAACTGCGACTCCTACCAGCCAATAGCGGTCACCTGGGGGGTTTTCCCTGGCATGGAGATCATACAACCCACGGTCGTCGACCCTGTCAGCTTCCATATTTGGAAGGTATAGCCACAAATCACTTCTTTTTTCGTTCTCATTTTGCTGTTGTTGTTCCAAACATTTCTCTTTCTCATTATTTCTGTGAATTTCCTGCTGTTCCTCTGTTTTACCGTTCTCCCGTCTTCTACGGAATTTTGCAATCTGCTTTTTTCTGCGACTTTCTTGAGACATCGAGCCTTTTCTTTTTACCATTACAAGATGTTACTGATGGTGTCTCCCTCCTTTAGGACGAGGCCTTCATGTTGTGGGGGACCCACTGGGCCAGTCTCTACAGCCCCGAGTCCACCTCCCACCACATCATCTCTCACATCCAGAACACCTACTACCTCCCTCGTCAACCTCGTCGATAATGACTTTGTCACTGGAAACGTCCTCTTTCAGGTTGGTTCACCAATAGTAGGTGTTTTGAGGCTCTCCCATACCTGTGTTAAAAATATAACAGTAAAGAGACAATTTTTGTGTCTCTCTCTCTTTTCCTCCTCCATTCCCTCTCCTCCTCTTCTCTATATATCTGAGTCAGTTAGACCCAAAATGACCCAGATGATGAAAATTCAGTTGGTTGCTTGTATTCACATTCATCCAATCAGTTTTTTTCCAGAAATTATGTACCAATGTTTCGACTAGAGCTAGGCTCATTTGTGCATGCCTTAATACTCCCCGTTCATAATCTCCCTTTTTTCTCTGTACCTTTCTCCCCCTCTCCTCTCTCTCTGCTCCTCTCTCTCTCTCCTCTCCTCTCTCTCCTCTCCTCCCTCCTCTCCTCTCCTCCTCCTCTCCCGCTGGTGAACAAGGTACTGGACGGTATGAGCAAAGCCAGTAGTCCACAACTGAGACTGACCAAACTCTCTCCCCTCCTCCTCCTCCTCCTCTTCATGACTTCCTATTGTGAGTCAGTTAGGACCCAATAATGACCCAGATGATGAAAATTCAGTTGGTTGCTTGTATTCACATTCATCCAATCAGCTTTTTCCAGAAATTATGTACCATTGTTTCGACTAGAGCTAGGCTCATTTGTGCATGCCTTAATACTCCCCGTTCATAATCTCCCTTTTTTCTCTGTACCTTTCTCCCCCCTCTCTCTCTCTCTCTCTCTCTCTCTCTCTCTCTCTCCTCTCCTCTCCCAGCTGGTGAACAAGGTACTGGACGGTATGAGCAAAGCCAGTAGTCCCACAACTGAGACTGACCAAAACTCTCTCCCCTCCTCCTCCTCCTCTTCATGATTTCCTATTGTCTAGAATTTTTACTGCGCGTGCGCACATGGTTTACAAATCTTCTTCTTCTTCTTCTTTGTAACCTCCACTGAAGGAGAGTAGCCTATGGGGTAGGCAATTATATGAGGGCGAGTAGTTGACGGTGATGCTCGGAGTGTAGACGATGTAGAAACACAACGATCTCTCTCTGAAGTGGCGGATCCTCGATCCAGCGAATTCCCAGGATGTGTTCCGCAAAACCGTTCGGGTCTGAGTCTAATAACGGCACGTGATTTTAGCAGCCACGCCCTGTGCTCATTTCTTGGGTCTGGGTTTTGTTCTCCAACGCAGTTTCTAGGCCCGCTTTCGATCGACGAGGTCGACCACCACTGACGACACAGTAGTACAGCCGGCCAGAAGAAGGTCACGTGACTCAGAGATGGCTACTGGTGGCGGGGACCAAGTCTGGACGTGGAAGAAACGTAAGACAGTCGCCGCGAGCGGCGCATCCCACACAGAGGAAATAAAATGATAACTGTTAGGTTATGACTGCCCAGTGAATGATGATGATGGTATTGTCTGATAGGTTGAGAGAGATGACGTACTTTTATTTTTGTATGACGTCACCACGAGCCGTATCGAAAAAGATCTTGTAAATATCCGATGAAGTTGTGTTTGTTAGTTGATGATGTCATTGTCTTTCCTCGCAGCACTCCCTCCAAGTAAAGCCGCACTCAGGAAGGTCTTTGAGAACACCAGTAACCTCAGTTACCTCTGCAGCTGGCTCTTCATCCCTGATGATAAGAGAGATGTTGACAGTGCAGTAGAGTACTATGTACAGAGTACAGATCCAATGAAAATGAGAAAGATGATATTCATGCTGGACTAGATTGGAGACACAGCTCTAGCAGACTCATTGATGGAGTATGCAGAGCCCCCAGCAGGTATGGCTACAATAGAGAACACAACACAGCCAGTCAATTGTATACCTCTGGCTATATTGAAACCCACCACAGCATGAGCTGTGTGTACATCATCAGGGGTTCATTTAGAAATCGATCCAAGGGGGGAGGGGGGCAAAATGAGTAATTGTGAAATAAAGCAAAGCGGCACGCATGCGCAGCGAGGGTTACGATAGTCGTTCTGTCTGTCTGTCTGTCTGTCTGTGTGTGTGTCGACGTTTATTATGGCACAAAGAGGCGGCCCATTAGAGATGCCAACGGCTTCAGAACTACGCGAGCCTGAAAAATTATTAGGTGATTTTCCTGAAACGACTGTGTTCGAGAGATATGCAGTGAAAACAAGTGAAAAAGCCAATATGCATAATCGCCCTGGGCATGCGCAATTCGCAGAGGGTTTGCACCTTAGAAAGGCATATACAGAGAAAAAAGGGAGATTATGAACGGGGGAGTATTAAGGCCTGCACATATGAGCCTAGCTCTAGTCGAAACATTGGTACATATAATTTCCAGAAAACAGCTTTTCCAAGAATTGCATATACAGAGAAAAAAGGGAGATTATGAATGAAGGCCTGCACATATGAGCATAGGCCTAGTGGAAACATTGGTACATAATTTCCAGAAAACAGCTTTGCTTTATTTTACAATTACTCATTTTGCCCCCCACCTCCCTTGGATCGATTTCTAAATGAACCCCTGATGATGTACACACAGCTCATGCTGTGGTGGGTTTCAATATAGCCAGCTATATATAATATAGCCAGAGGTATACAATTCACTGGCTGTGTTGTGTTCTCTATTGTAGCCATACCTGCTCGGGGGCTCTGCATACTCCATCAATGAGTCTGCTAGAGCTGTGTCTCCAATCATGTCCAGCCTGAATATCATCTCTCTCATTTTCATTGGATCTGTAGTCTGTACATAGTACTCTACTGCACTGTCAACATCCCACTTATCAGGGATGGAGAGAATGTCGCAGAGGACATTGAGGTCACTGGTGTTCTCAAAGACCTTCCTGAGTGTGGCTTTACTTGGAGGGAGTGCTGGGAGGAAAGACAATGACATCATCATTAACTAACACAAGTTCATTGACAAGATCTTTTTCGATACGGCCAGTGATGACGTCATACAAAACTAAAATTACGTCATCTCTCTCAATCTCAACCTATCAGACAATACCATCATCATCATCATTCACTGGGCAGTCATAACCTAACAGTTATCATTTTATTTCCCCTGTGTGGGGTGCGCGGCTCGTGGTGACTGTCTTACGTTTCTTCCACGTCCAGACTTGGTCCCCTCCTCCAGTAGCCATCTCTGATCATGAGTCACGTGCGCTGCTTCTGGCCGGCTGTACTACTGTGTTGTCAGTGGAAGACCTCGTCGATCGAAAGCGGGCCTTGAAAACTGCCGGAAACGTTGGGCGAAGAACAAAACCCAGACGAGAAATGAACACAGGGCGTGGCTGCTAGAATCACGTGATTTGTAAATAATGTGCGCACGCGCAATAAAAAAATTCTAGACAATAGGAAATCATGAAGATGAGGAGGAGGAGGGGAGAGAGTTTTGGTCAGTCTCAGTTGTGGGACTACTGGCTTTGCTCATACCGTCCAGTACCTTGTTCACCAGCTGGGAGAGGAGAGGAGAGAGAGAGAGAGCAAGAGAGGGGGGAGAAAGGTACAGAGAAAAAAGGGACATTATGAACGGGGAGTATTAAGGTATGCACAAATGAGCCTAGCTCTAGTCGAAACATTGGTACATAATTTCTGGGAAAAAAACTGATTGGATGAATGTTAATACAAGCAACCAACTGAATTTTCTTCATCTGGGTCATTTTTGGGTCCTAACTGACTCAGATATATAGAGAAGAGGAGGAGAGGGGAACGGAGGAGGAAAAGAGAGAGAGACACAAAAATTGTCTCTTTACTGTTATATTTTTAACACAGGTATGGGAGAGCCTCAAAACACCTACTAGAAATAATGAGAAAGAGAAATGTTTGAAACAACAACAGCAAAATGAGAACAAAAAAGAAGTGATTTGTGGCTACTATACCTTCCAAATATGGAAGCTGACGGGGTCGACGACCGTGGGTTGTATGATCTCCATGCCAGGGAAAACCCCCCAGGTGACCGCTATTGGCTGGTAGGAGTCGCAGTTTGTCATGTTTTCCGTTCCCTGGGAAGGAGAAGAGGGTGGAGGGATTGAACAGCTATATATACTGCAGTGGCTATAGTCACAACTCTGGTTTCGTGCTAAAAAACATTTCGCTAACCAAAAAATTTCAAGAACCTCTGAAAAATAGCAAGTTTTCACCAAAAGTTTCTCAAAGGCAGTAGACAGACGTCTGCACCTGGTGTGCTAAAAACTGAAATTCTACTTTTGCAGTTGAGTAACAATCGCAATGCTCTCTTGTTGAGAGTCCTACCTCATGGTTTACTCCGAACACCCTCCCCCATCGTCCTACCCCATTTCCCCCCACCCCGGGGTCTGTGGTACCCCAACCCTACCCCTACCTCCCCTCGTCCTCCCACATGGATTTCCCCTCGTTCCCTCAGTCTTTAGTTGTGTGGTATATATACCTGTCTGTTGACAATGTGGTAGTTGACTTGAGGATAGTCCACCAGGACCGTCATTAGCGCTCTCATGAACGACGGACTACAGAAGAACTCCAGATATGCCTGTAAGTAGAGAAAAAGAGGGAGGGGGAGAGAAGGGTTATTTTGTGGCATTGAAGAGGAGTCTTGCATGTCAAGACATTATTAATCCTTGGGAGAGTTTCCGTCACATTCAAATAGACAACAAGCAGAGAATGATATAATTATACACTTGTTGCTAAATGATCAACATATTAATCAGAGGAGAGGGGTCCTTGATTCTGGGGTTCAGATTGCGGGAGTCCTAATTTCGGGGGTCCTAATCGCAGGGTTCAGGTCAGATTCAAATCCAGGTGGCAAACCAATCAGAGGTTTATATGTACATACCACTACTCTATACAACACACACACTACATCAGAAGCTGGAGAAGTGAATTTGCTCAGTGAGGTGTCCTGATTACCTCAAATGAGGTAAGTACACACACATACCTTTTGATAGACGAAGCCTCCCTTCTCCCCCCAGCCGACCACGGGATCAGAGGAGCTGAGGCCGTTGACTGCAGGCTGGCTGTTTGATCGCGAGGACTCCGCATCGGTTGATGGCTGCCAGCTCCTGAGTCAGCAGAGACGTCTATGCCAGGAGCTCGTCGTCATTCCACGGGAGACTGGTCACCTGACAGGAAGTGATGTCAGCAATTAAAACCTGAATATGTACCGGGTTCTTCATTCTTCACACAACACTTTGTGCTAATAAATAATTCCCAGTTATAGATTCTCATTGTCTAAAAAGAGGGACGAGGAAAAGTCTTGTGTCCGTGTGGTTCCCTAAGATTTGAGTAATTGCGCAATATCCTCCTGTCCCCCTCCCGAAATGAACCCCTTCCCCCCACACCTGACTCCGTTCTTGTTCTTGTTGCCCGGGTGAAGGTAACACTCAAAGACATGGAACACGTCTCGGGCAGTTCAGCTCCTCCCCCCACATGACCGCAGCTCGCTCCGGTTTCCAGCGAGTCCGCAGTAGAACAAGTGGTAGTCGGCAGCTCTCCGAACGCGGGGAGGACGAGTTGCCCCAGCGACCGTTGGGAAAATCATCCCATTCTTTGGTTCAGGAGAGATAAGGTATCATACCTTTTGAACACATTTACTTCATCAAACTACAGATCGACCAAGGTTAGCCCAATTTTCAACAGTCAATCCTAAAACTATTTTACTATTTTCACTGCACTCTCCAGCTATAGTCAAGGTATTCAGAATGGTTGGTTGGTCTGTTCCTTCCCCCCCACTGACTTGCTAAAAGTACGAAAAAATTTAGGCCACCCTCTAATTTCACTGCACTCTCCACTCCAGCTATAGTTCAAGGTATTCAGATGGTTGGTTGGTCTGTCCTTCCCCCCACTTGCTTGTTAAAGTACAAACAATTTAGGCCACCCTATATTTTCACTGCACTCTCCAGCTATAGTCAAGGTATTCAGAATGGTGGTTGGTCTGTCCTTCCCCCACTTGCTTGCTAAAAGTACAAACAATTTAGGCCACCCTATATTTTCACTGCACTCTCCAGCTACAGTCAAGGTATTCAGGATGGTTAGTTGGTCTGTCCTTCCACCCCACGTTCTTACTAAAAGTACACGTGTGGTATATATATACATACCTGTGTATGTAGCTCTTGGGTCTCTGGGCCAGAAGATTGGTTCTGACGTCTTCGGTACACCTCTTGTGACTGGCTGGAGCTTTCCATGGCAACGTCTTCCGTGACAGCGGGTCATCACACCACATACCTTTGAGGTGAAGGAGGAATAAGATAGAGATATAAGATATAAGTTGGAGATAGATAGAGATAAAAGAGGAACATGATAGGGGGGAAAGACGAAAGTTGTTAGTGAGAGAGGAACAGTTTGAGCAAGATAGCGGAAAAAAGATGGAAGAGCCTAAATTGTTTGTACTTTGAAAGGAGAGTGAAAACTGCTATAGTGGTAGAAATGTGAACGTGCCTAGTTCAGTAAGGATTGAAATAGTGGCGACCTCTCGATTCAGAGTATAGAAATGTAGACCATTCACCTGTACATAAGGAGAGACAGAGAGAGAGGTAAAATAAGTGAAGAAATAGAGAAAATAACATCTCACCATTCCAGAGTTGAGTAGCTCTTTGCACATGTTGACGGCAAACAGATGCCAAACTTTTGGATCGCGGCGTCGTCATCTTTGATGGGTAAGATGGCGTCCATGATGTTTCAAGGAACCTCCAGTTTCGATAGCTTTGTCAGATTGTGCAGACTCCTGCAGCCCTATTGTGTGTATATATAGTACAGCGGAACCTCTGATAAGGGACCCTCCAAGATAGGGACAACCTCTCTACAAGGGACACTTGTTTCAATCCCATGCTAATACTTTAGTGTATTATTTGACCTCCGGGATAGGGACGACCTCTCTACAAGGTGCAAGATTGTTGGCCCCATAGTGTCCCTTGTTAGGAGGACACTGTACACATATTATAGCTGAGAGAGAAATTGCAAGAATACGAAATGGTTTTTTCCCTTTCTGTTGGCACACAATTGTTCTTGAAATTCGAGAACAGGTGTTTAACTGGACGATACACAGTGACAGGTACATACATACATACATGTGGCAAAATTTCAAAGGGAACAGAAATTTGAAGAGATATTTTGATGTCAGTTTACGAGGGCACTACATACAAAGGTAAGTATACACGCAAATACTGTTGCCGATAGATTAATTGACAACTAATTTGATGTACCTGAACGGGCAGTATTCCTGGCATGATGGGAACAGTAATCCCAGTCATGGTAGAACTTGATGAAAGTTGAGGCCTCGAAGATCAGCTGCGTGATGATGAAATCTGTACCCGCGTCCACCTTCTCCTTCAGATGTTGAATATCCTCATCGTAGTTGGCGCAGTCCGGGTGACCGTGGGGATAACCTGGAATTACATGGACAAACCCGTTTACAAAACTGGACTGACCAGATTAACCTGAATCATTAACTACAGCAAATCTCTTCTAATCAGGACATTAATGTTGCGTGACAGAAAGACGTTTCCAAATTAGTGAGGTATTTTTATTTCATAACTTGCATTTTTATATTTCATGCAAAAATAAGGAAGCATCTACATCAAAAATACTTGCCAACTATGGTCCAAAAACAGCTAAAGTTCTATAATGATGATAAAAATATCAGTGAGTCTTTTGCATAAAATCGGTTGAAGCGTAAAGAAGTTAGGGAGGAGAAAAAGAAAGATAGAAAAGATGGAGAGGAAGGAGAGAGGGGTTGTAAACCTGCCACACAGATGGTGAAATAGTCTCCATAAAGTTCTCTGATGAACTTCACGAGATCAGTTCCGTAGGAGAACCCATCAGGTATTGGTTTCCAGTCTTCACCATCAGTAGGATCTGTGGGGAGTGTGTGTGTGTGTGTGTGTGTGCTGTGTGAGAGAGAGAGAGAAGAAAGAAAGAAGAGAGAGAAGGGAGAGGAGGAGGGAGTATAAAGGAATACACTATGCTCTTACCTTTGTCCTACCAACAGTGCCACACACTATAACATGGCACATGTGGTAAGACACACACACCTAACACACATGACAAATTTCTACAATACTAATGTACTGACACAAGTGCAAATAAAAAATTTAGGTTAACACCTACCGTCTGTTATTTTTGGATAGATCAGAGAAAAGGAAGATGGAAGAGAAAGAGAGAAAGAAAAGAGAAGGCATTGAAGAGTGGATGTGTTGATGATGATGAAGAAGCGTGTGCATGGAAAAACAAAGTTAAAAAAGTCACACACTCTCCTACAAACAAGCCCCTACTTTTCCAACAACAAAAACAAAAACTAATCCCTATCCTTACTGACCTCCTCTAAGGGCGATGTCCGCATGTTTGGTAGCGTCATGACGGGCCTCTTTCTACCGACTAGTGACATAGACCTCGTAGTCATAGGCCACTGGGGGACAAGACGCCCATTTTCACCCTCGAAGAAGAGCTCAAGAAAGCCGACATTGCCGTCAAAGACACCATTAAACCCCATCGACAAGACGACGGTTCCCGTCATAAAGTTTACGGACAAACAGACGGAGGTCAAGGTCGCTTCAATCGGGTGTCCGGGATGGAGGGGGTTAAAGTCATCGTGGACTTCATGAACCAGTTCCCCATTCTCCCAAAACTGGTTCTGGTCCTGAAACAGTTCCTGGCACAGCGGAATCTGCACGAGGTGTTCCACGGAGGGATCAGCTCGTACGCCCTCGTTCTTCTCGTCGTCAGCTTCCTCCAGCTCCACCCCCGCAACGCCGCAAACGACCCGGACGCGAACCTCGGCGTGCTCCTAATAGAATTCTTCGAGCTCTTCGGTCGCAACTTCAACTACATGAAGACGGCAATCACGGTCCTCGACGGGGGGTCCTACTTCTCAAAAGAGGACATCCCGGACCACGAAAACGCCATTCTCTACATCGTGGATCCCCACTAATACCAAGGAGAACGCCAGTCGCGGTTGCTACGGCATGTGGCAGGTGAAGATGGCCTTCGAGCAGGCCTTCCTGAAGCTGCACAGACGCACACTGACACGAGAGATACCAAGTCCTAGACAAGAGAGTCTGCTGGCCGAGATCGTCGAGTTGTCTGTTGAAGTCGACGAGTATCGCAACTGGATTGACAGTACCTGGGTTACTCCACCCCACTCACCCCAATCCTACCTCATGGTTTACTCCGGGCACCCTCCCCCGTCGTCCTACCCCGTTTTCCACACCCCGGGGTCTGTGGTACCCCAATCCTACCCCCTACCTCCCCTCGTCCTCCCACATGGATTACCCCTCGTTCCCCTTCCCTCCTCTCCCATTCATCCATCCCCCTCACCCCACCCCATCTGCTAGTACCAGCTCCTCCCACCAACAATCATCCACAGCTGACTCTTAGCCCAAGTCACCCTTCTCACATTCCCCTCTCCCTTATATGGATGTGTGCCTCCTCCATAGACAGCTGTGGTCCTTTCATCATGCAATTAGCTGCCATCAACATCCTGTTTACGTCTTTGTTTATACTCCTCTTCCTCTGTCCACAAGGACTGTTCCTATTCTCTTGAATTTTTGTCAGCACCTCTCTCTCTTCTCTCTCTTTGCTTTTCTCTCTCTCTTCTCTCTCTCTCTCTCTCTCTTCTCTCTCTTTGCTTTTCTCTCTCTCTCATCCAATGCAGTGTGCTATGTATGTATTCACAATGTATCATAATGAACTCCAAAAAAATGAAGCATTGAAGAAAGTGCAGAACAAGAAAGTGAATACACAAAATAATGGTTACGTCACATTATGTCATAGAGAGAGGAAAAGTAGGATGGTACAAAAAAGCTCAGAAAGTAATCACCGAATTATGTCGTGCTTTATAATGGCCCGTACAAAAATGAGAAGAGAGGATACAAAATGAGAGGGTGAGAAAATAAGTGAAGTGAAGATAAGAAAGTGAGTATAGAACATATGGCCACGTCACGTGTGCACAAAAAGAGATTTACAGGGCGGTAAAAAGACAGGAGAAGAGAAAATCGCAATTATCACAAATTGAAACTGAACATAACTGGTGATGTAATTATGTCAGGGAAAGGTATGTGGAAGAGAGGGAGAGAGAGAAGAGGAGACGAGAGAGATGGTTATGATGAAGACTACCGCTGGGTGCCCTTACAAAATTGATACAGAGTGAGAGGAATTGGGAGGAGTGGAGAAAGGAAGGTAGCCATGATGAAGACACGAGGAGTTCATCATGAACTACTGGTGAGAGAGTGTTCAATGGAGGAGGCCAGGGGAGAGAGACCAATGGACTTGAGAGAGTCCGTCAGAGTTCTCCAGGTCACCGGCTGCTTCCCTTTCCCCCTCAGCCAGCGCCTCATTATCTCCATGGTGATGCTATCGGCATCCAGGAGACATTGGGATTTGATGGTTGGCATGATGGACCCATCGTTGTCCTCCAGTAACAGAGTCCCCAACTTCATGTACTTCATTCCAACTTTACTGGTGATGTCAATGGCTCCCTGAGTGTGTGGGGAAACTGAGGAGCTCTGGAAGTGTCGGCCTTTCATCTGCAGTTGGAAAGAGTTACAGAAAAGTGAGGAGAGGACTCTTCAATTATACACCATGCAGGTTTGAGAGCATTTCAAGCCTTCATTCTTAGCAAAGGGCAAAGGGTTGTAGCTTTGGTTTTCAGAAACACACACAAACAGTCAGAGCTCACCCATTCTGGAAGACGGAGAGGACGGGAAGGGAGGGTCAGTGAGAGACGACACAGGTTCACTAGTCGAGAGAGAAGTTGCAGCTGACTCGGCGACTGTGGAAAAGAGGAGAAAACACTATTATCAGTTTCAACACTGACTTAAATCAAACAACAGAGTGTACACAAGACACACACACTCACAATCCGAAGTCGCACCTGGAGCAGTTCGTGGTCCAAGCCACACCCTCTGAGCAGGAGAGAGGGGACCTTCGCTGATGTCCTCAGTGATTGAGCAGATGAGGTTGGAGTGGGCTTCATTTGGAGTGGCTGCGTGCACGTCGTCTGGGCTGCAGGGGCACTGGAAGGCTACGGAGGCTCGCGAATCCTTGAAGCGGAAAGCACTCGCTGCACTATCCACTGCGTCCATGAGCATGTCACGGATTTCTGGACAGATGCTGGGCAGGTCGGCCTGCGATGCATCGAGATGAACTTCGAAATGCTTCAAAGCATGGAGAAGAGTATTTGAACTGCTTTTGTCGGATGCTGCAACCGCACGGCATTGCGGAAGAGACAAGCAGGAACTATCTTACTTTTGTCGATGGTGTAAGCCGTGGTCCACCCATACTTGGAGCGCATGCAGGTATGGGTGGAGCAGAACACACCTTTAGCAATGCGGGACATGTGGAAGTGGAGAAAGAGAGGGGACACGTGCTC